GCCTTGAGAAACTTCATGAAGGTCCCAGATGGTTCATCCCCCTAGCACACACACTCACTCCAGCCCCATTCACTCCCTTGCCAAACTCCTTCTCACCCTTCAGGTCTCAGTTTAAATACGTCACTTCTTCAGAGCCCTTGCTTGCCACTGTCTTCATTCTAATGCTCTCCCTCCATCTTCTCTCAGCCTACTCCAGAACCTGGTCCATAATTTGTAATTAAACATTTGTCTGTGTCGCTGTTTAGCTAATATCTGTCTTCACCACTGGATTGCAGGCTTCCGGAAGGGAGGCAGCAGATCCTATGTTTTTCTCATCTTTTAATTAACTAGCCCTTCGCTCAGTGCCTGACACAGAGCAATAAATATTTGTGGAACGAAGGAAGGAATGAGACCCTAGCCTGGAAATGTACCACGAACAAACGTGAATGTGATTCCAGACCACCTGTGGTTTCTATAGTTGGTGGGTCCCACCTGGAACGAGTGGAGTCCTCTGGGGTTACCATCTCCACATTAGACCCTGACGTGGGGCCATCGGCCTGGACTCCTCCAGGGCTCCTGTTTTCCAGTTCTAGAAGGTTCTTCACAAGGAATCTGGGATGGCACTCTCCTACTCCGTCCCACAGAAGCTGCGCCCGTCCTCGTCTGCAGGGACTGGGTCTTACCTCTCTTATCTCTCCGCAAACGGTGTTTAACGGGAGAGGAAGAGTTAAAACAAGAAACAATCCTGGCAGTCACAGGAAGACTTTTTCAAGACATTTTTCATCTTCATTTCTTGGGCCAAAATTGAGAGACACTATTTTTGACAGTTTTGTTTTTGTTTCACAGTGATATACAGAGATGCTTTACATTTCTGCCCACTGCCCCCTCTCGCAGTCGGGCATGACAACTTGCTTTGATAATCAGCAGTTTTTGTGCGATGATGCGTATCCTGACAAATCTTACTCCTTAACAAAAACTTCTTACAAGTTGTTTACTGCGTCAAATAGCTTGTTATATTTTGACAGTAGCTTTTCCTTTAGGACTTACAGAGTCCTGTAGGATCCTTTACTAAAATTTTGCTGCCTGGAGTTTTCCTAATCTTGAGTTTGTATGCCTCAGACATCCATGCTATGATACCCTTCAAAATATTGATATTAATATTAGATCAAACTCTTATTCAGGGTCCTATCTTCAAATATGGGTTCTTGCAGAAATATCCTATAGAATTGGATATCGTAAATAGAAGATACTTAAATAAGTATAATTAAGTAACCTTTATCATGTTTTCAAATGAAAAGTTAGTCTATAGAAGAACCAAAACTCCAATCAAAATATAACTAAAGTAGTTTCGCACTTAATGTAAAGACGTGAAAAAGTGTTAGTCACTCAGTTGTGTCTCACTCTTTGCGACCCTATGAACTGTAGCCCGCCAGGCTTCTCTGTCCATGGAATTCTCCAGGCAAGAATACTGGAGTGGGTTGCCATTCCCTTCTCCAGGGGATCTTCCCCACCCAGGGATCAAACCCAGGTCTCTAGCATTGCAGGCAGATTCTTTACCGTCTGAGCCACCAGCGACAAAGAAAATGATAGACAAGTGTTTTTTCTTTCTTTGGCAATACTGACAACACTTCCTCAGTGCTTACTACCTGACAAGCATTTCTCAGCACCTTGTAGCTGTGCTATTAATAACTCATCTAATCCTACAACAGCCCTTAGAGGAAAATACGGTAATTATTTTCATTGTACAGATGAAAACATGATACACAAGAAGTTCAAGTAACTTGCTCAAAGTTGCAAAGGTAGCAAAAAGCAGAGCCAACTTATGTGCCCAGGCTTCTGCCTTCTGAGCCTGGGGGCTTAACCACTCTTCTCATCCCCTTCCAATGGACAGAGCCAGGCAAATCAGCTTTTTCCACTCCCAAATCTTCCTATATATTCCATTATATTTTAAATCGTGTTAAGTAGCCTCTCATTCTGCAAAGGATAATGCTAGATTTTTACCCTCCCTGGCTGTTACCTATTGCTAATAAATAGGTTGACTTTGTGATGTAACTGAGTCAGGTAAATGTCGATTTAGAATCCGGCCCTACCACCCACTAATTATACTACCCTTGGAAAGTTTCTTGATCTTTCTGAGCCCATTAGCTATTTTGTAACATAGTGATCATTACAGCTATTATAAGGAGAAAATGAGATAACCCTGTATAAACTGTCTGGCACGTGGGTAATCAGTAATATTCCTCACTCCAAGTGTATAAGTAAGAACAGTAGGAAATTGTATTAATTCTCATGGAAAAGAAGGTTCCATCAATAAATTACTAATTCAGTGTTGTAAATCGTGTTCCATTCCCTGGAAATAGTTTATACAGTTCCTTAGGAGTCCCAGTTGTATCAAGAGATAAGAGCATTTACAAGAAAATAGTGCTTTTCCAGGCTAATCAAAATTTTTGCCTGCAACTGCAAAGCATTACATTAGAAGTGATGTGGTGGTTTAGTCGCTAAATCATAGCCAGCTCTTTGCAACCCCATGGACTGTAGCCCTCCAGGCTCCTCTCTCCGTGGAATTTCCCAGGCAAGAACACTGGAGTGGGTTGCCATTTCTTCCTCCAGGGGATCTTCCCAATCCAGAAATCAAACCCACATCTCCTACACGTCTCCTGCGTTGAAGGTGAATTCTTTACCGCTAAGCCATCGGGGAAGCCCCTTACATTAGAAGACTGTGATCAAATCGACTATTATATGAACTAGCAAAATAAAATAGCCAGACTGGTAGACGTCAGAATGTTTCACGAATTCTAACTCTGTTCTATGGAACTCTGCTTTCCCAAATCCCCTCATGAAGCCCATTGTATGTTTATGCGTGCAAACCCATACATACATCTTGTATACCTGAACCTTTCTGGGTGTCATCTCCCTAGTGAACTGACTGTGTTTAAAGAGAGTTTGAATTGAGGTTGTCTGGGGGCGACTTACCCTCTATACAAGAAACGTCACTCTGTTTAGTTCTCCCCCACCCCTACTAATGGGCCGTGGCTACGTCCTATATCCCATGTCCACCTCCCGCCATAGATGGTGTGAATGTATTTGGATACCTGACACAAGGCAGCCAATCCAAAGGCTGGTCACACACCTCTGTTGATGGAGCTGGCCTAATCTGAAGGTGTTCTTGGAGATTTGATTGTAGCAAACCCTGAGACTAAGGCCATTGTCAGGGGAGGACAGAAAGAGAAGTAAAATAAGAGATGCCTGAAGCAAATTGGCAGGGCTGGAGGGACCCCAGGACATCATAAAACAATGAGCAGCGCAGAGTTATGATTAAATCTTCATCTTAAAATTCTGTGGAGAGAAGTAGATGGAGGGATGCCACGACTGCTTTGATTCGGATTATTTTCAGTTGTGGGTCCAGTTTGCCTGTATTTTTACATTAGACCTTCCAATACTGGACCCAGGTTGTCTATTTCAGAAACTTCCCTGGTGGTCCAGTGGATAAGAATCTACCTTCCAATGCACAGGACATGGGTTCAATCCCTAGTCTGGTAACTAAGATTCTCCCATGCCCCAGGGGTAACTAAGCCTATGAGCTGCAACCCGGCACAGCCAAAACAAACAAAAAAGTGTGTCTATTGCATACATTAGGAAGCCAATGAAGCATCCACAATATGAACTTGAGCCTAAGGAGACACGCCAACCTTGCCCATGGGTATAGAATTACTTTAGCAGAAATGTGACCTATTCCTTCTGGTGTCCCAGTGCCTGCCTCAGTGTCCTCCCTGCAGAGGGTGGCACAGTTTCTCATGCTACGAACACTAGGGCCTCAGGACAGCACAGGCTGATGAGCTCAGACCACCAGGACTAGACCAGGATCTCTGTCTGCCCTTCTCCACGGCAGCGCTGGGAGGTTCACACTTGGGAAGGAACCCGCGCTGCCAAACGCACAGCTAAAACAAGCGGGAGGCAGAGGGAGAACTCCAGATGTTTAGAATTAGGATGACTATAAACAAATTTCTTTCTCCAGATCCACCCAGCTTGCTTTTTAAAATTACTTTTATATCTGGTAAACAAACTCATATTCTCTTTTCTTGGTTGCTAATAGACTAATTCTTCAAGGAATGACAATTCTCATACTGGTTAACACAGTTCATTATTCTTTCTCCAGAAATTGCATCATTCACGCATCAACATGATTCAGTCGGTAGTTTGGAAAAGGTGGGAATTCAGTATAAACGTTAATTACCATTTGCAGTCACTCTTCAAAGACCGGCTTTAGGCACACCTGTCACCTAATTAATTTTATTTTTCACTTTGCCAACTTTAACATCACAATGTTACTTTCATTGTACACACTTCACTACATTAAAACATGACATTAAATGTTATGTAACTGTCACAGGAGCTGGGCAGGGACACGGGCAGCAGCATTCATGTAGCAAGCTGATCTGTTGCAGGTGATCATCTGAGTTCACCTGTGCATCAGTTAAGAAATGTCCACTCCTAGACTAATACTCCTTCCATCACTCATATCAGGGATGTCTTCAGCCAACCTGGAGCACACATTTCAAGAAATCAGATAGTGCTGATTACTATCCCCACAGCATAAATGTAGCACATAATTATTCACATATTGTCATCATGCCAGCATGCACATTTAGCAAGTTCAAAGCTTCCTTTTGATAAGTCACAATAAATGTGCTCCTCTGATCACCCTCCACACTACCTAGAAGGGTCTGACTTGACTCTCTCCAGTCACGTTTCCTTAGGGTCTTTTGTCAGAGTTAGAATCCATTCAAAACAACAGTAACATCTCAGGAAGCTTCTCTGTTCAACAGGTTTGAGCAAGGTTGACGATCGGCTAATGCCTGATCCACTCCGTGTGTTCCAACTCTGATGTATGTTCCAACACATCTGTGCTTGCACACACATAGATACACACCTTCGCATAGATGAAGTGATTGTGAAATGGTTGACACCGAGTTGAAAGCTACTAACCGTGCTAAAACTAAGACTCTTTTTTTCTCCCCCAGGGCCGTTGTTCAAGAGAGAACTGCAAGTATCTTCACCCTCCCACACATTTAAAAACTCAACTAGAAATTAATGGGAGGAACAATTTGATCCAGCAAAAAACTGCAGCAGCCATGCTTGCCCAGCAGATGCAATTTATGTTTCCAGGAACCCCACTCCATCCCGTGGTGAGTACACTGAAGCTAACGAGGATGGGCTTGCTGATGAAAGTGTCCGTACGGGCAGTGTACCAACCATTGACCTAAAATGGCCTCTTGTCTACTTTGTCTCTTTGGCTACATTTAAAGCAAATAGCTTTGAAGCTAAATAGATGCTGAAAAGAGGGTTTTTTAGATTATCCAAATGGGAAAAAAATGCATGAGGAAACCGTAGGCAAAGGCAATTTCTAATCGATACCCGGAAAAATCTGTGTCGCTCCAGCTCTTTCTCACCAATCACCTCCATATTTGAGCTATCTTAGAAGGAAAATAGTTCTCCATTGAGAGTATGAATCGATGATCTATGCAAAGAGGCGCTTTTGATGCCTAAAACATGTTTAGCAAGGCAACAGATTATTTCGTTTCAATGGTGTCATTTTAAGGAAGGGGAAAAATGAAACCAGAGAAGTTAATGGATTTACCCAATGTCCTGCAGTTAATCAGTTGTGGAGCTGGGCCTAGACCTCAGACATCTTGACCAGGGTGCTTTCTGCTGTCTGCTCCCCCCTCCACCCCGGGCCTGAAAGAAGCCTGAACCAGGATGCCTCAGCCACCCACACCTCCTTTCTCAGAGGCCTGCAGAAGGTGTGGCAGCCGTGGTGAGGACTGCAAGATTAAATGCCAAGGGAGTTCAGTCTATAAATATGTATTGTGTAATATTTTCTCCCTGATTTCACAGTGTTTGAAAGTATTTCCTTAAAGGTCTGGAAATTGCTTTAGGAATGAGGCCCTGAGGGAAAGGAGTGCATTTTTTTTTTTTGCCTTTAGTGAAGTTCGTTCACATTTGTAAATTATTTGTCAAAAACAAGCTAATATAAAAAAAAAAACCAAAGCCAGTGAAGTGAGTGAAATTTGCTCTTTTTTAAAAAAAAAAGTACATACACAAAAGACGATTGTTTAAAAATCAGTCTTTATTGTATGAAAATTCTATTGTTACTGAAAGCTGCTAAATGCAAAAAGGATAGCTACCAGGGAGTTGTGTTTTCTTATTGTGTGTCTGTGAGATGAGACAGGAAGGTGGGGGCGGTCCAGGAAGAGGGGAGAGGATCTGGGTAGGTGGTTGGCAATCCTTTTTGTCTCCAGGTTTCTGCCCAAGAGTAGTGAGTGGCAGCAAGTGGCCAGGAACCAGCTCTGCCCAGAGTGAAAAAAGTGCAGGTGCAGGTGTGAAGGACCCTCAGATAAATAAGCTACAGTCCTGGAGGGGTAGACAGACTCAGGGGAAAGGCAAAGCAAGGTTCAGGCCCAGGGAACTAGATTTCAGATGAGTCAGGAAAGGCTGGTTGGAGGAAATCCCGAATAAGACCATCTTAGGGCTTCCCTGGTGGCCCAGCAGTAAAGAATCTCTCTGCCGATGCAGGAGATGCTGGTTCCATCCCTGGGTTGGGAAGATCCCGTGGAGAAGAAAATGGGAACCTACTCCTATATTCTTGCCTGGAGAAAGCCCATGGACAGAGGAACCTGGCGGGCTACAGTCCAGGGGGTTGCAGAGAGTCAGACACGACTAAGCAACTGAGCATACACATAGGCATTTAAGTGGATCTATTTAAAACCACTCACAAGTATATTTTATGGTTTCTTTGTTGGTACACACATAAATTATTTTATTAAATTATCCAAATGCTAAAATAATTTAGTTATACATATTAAATAATGTCTATGGGAATAAATTGAGAACCACCTAGGTCAACACAGTAGCAGTGCATTATATCTCACTCATTTTAATCATTCACTTCTTATTTATTTAGAATCTGTAAGGATTGACCCTGGTACTCCATAATGGCCTGTTAATAAGGAATTCCATCCCTGTTCTAAACTGTTAATTGAATTTTCTTTGAAAGTTATGTTTCCATACTGTCTCATATATTAATTAGAGGACAATAATCACGATTACTCTGTGAGAAAGAAGTATTGCGTTTGAATATTTTAAGTGAGGTTTTTAAATCACAAGAAAAATTAGGATGCAAAAATGTAATAAGCTTAAAAGTCATTGAGTCTACAAACAAGTAATTTCAGAGTCACAGGAATGAATTAGTGACAGTACAATAGGTCCTGGAAACTTCCAAGGAAATAGTGTCTTTGCTGATGTGGTTGAGCTGGGCGTCTTGAGGTGGGGACATTCTCCAGGATTAAATGCAATCACAGGCATCCTTATAAGAGAGGCAGAGGGAGAATTAACTCACACACAGAAGAGGAGAAAAGCAATGTGCTCATGGAGGCCAAGACTGGAGTGCTGGAGCCACAAACCAAGGAACGCCAGCAGCCACCAGAAGCCGGAAGAGTCAAGGGACTGATTCCTCTTCCCTGGAGCCTCCAGAGGGAACACAGTCTTGCCAGAACCTTGATTTTGTCCCAGTGCAACTGGTTTCAGACTTACGGCCTCCAGAATTCTGAAAGAATAAATGCGTGTTGTGTAAGCCACCAGGTTGGTGGGAATCTGTTAGACCAGCCTTGGGAAACTAATACATGCAAAAATTGCTCAAGACAAAGAAATTGCTAAACAGAGTCACAAGTGCCACTCTATTTTTAGGTTTCCTTCTAGGGTAAGCTTCTCTAAATAGCTCTGGATGGTTTTTTCACACCCTTTATCTTCCATCTGCCCTGAAATCTCTCATCTGCTGAAATCTCTCACCAGTGACCTCCATATTGCTAAACATAAACAGGTAGTCACTGATGCTTTCATTGTTCTTTCGACCTCTTGGTAACAGGCAATCAGTCTCTCCTTAGTAGCATGTGACCCATCTCCTTTGCAGAGCACCCATTCCTCTCTGGGATGCACCCCTTCCTCTCTGATCACGCCTTCCTTCACTGTCTCCTTTGCCCGTTCTTTTCCTCTGTTCTATTCAGGCTTCCCTGATAGCTCAGTTGGTAAAGAATCTGCCTGCAACACGGGAGACCCCGGTTTGATTTCCAGGGTCAGGAAGATCCGCTGGAGAAGGGATAGGCTACCCACTGCAGTATTCTTGGGCTTCTCTTATGGCTCAGCTGGTAAAGAATCCGCTCGCAATGTGGGAGACCTGGGTTCTATCCCTGGGTTGGGAAGATCCCCTGGAGAAGGGAAAGGCTACCCACTCCAGTATTCTGGCCTGGAGAATTCCGTGGACTATCCTCATGGGGTCTCAAAGAGTCAGACACGACTGAGCGACTTTCATTTCCCTCTGTTCTATATTGAGGCTGCTATACACTGATGTTCCCAGTGCTGGCCACCTTATCACTTACCTGCTCCTTCATGGTCTCATCAGTTCCTGTGACGGTGGGTCTTCTCCCGGCTGAGAGCCACCAAAGGCATGTTCCCAATCCAGACGTCTCCTCTGAGCTCCAGGTTTAGCTACCCAACCTCCTACTGGACCCCCTTCAGATTTTTCACAGGGACTTGACATGCTTAAGACCAGTTTCTCATTCTACTACCTTCTTATCTCAGTAAGTGGTGTAGCCAGCAGTTTCAAACCAAAACCAAACAGGTTCTCTCACATCCAGTTCATCAGCACGTCCTATCATATGCCCTCAAGCCCACCTACTTCTCCTTCTGCCAGCACCCTCATCTTTGCTGCCATCAACCTTTCTTTCAAAATACTTTATAGGCTTTACCCTCCTTGTGGTGTTTGTTCAGTCGCTCAGTCGTGTCCAGCTCTTTGCAATCCCATGGACTGTAGCCCACCTGGCTCCTCTGTCCATGGAATTTCCCAGGCCAGAATACTGGAGTAGGTTGCCATTTCCTTCTCCAGGGGATCTTCCCAACCCAGGGATCGAACCCGTGTCTCCTGCATTGCAGGTGGATTCTTTACCGCTGAGCCACAACTCTTGCTTTATTCCAGTGTGCACAGCAACCAGGGGAATCTTTTAAACACATAAATGGTATAACGTCACTCCCTTACTTAAAACCCTTCAATGCTTTCCCGTTTCACTGGAGACAAAGTCTAAATGTGTAACCTTGATTTTATGGACAGTGTCATCTGCGGTCAAGTCCCTACCCAGCTCACCTCATCAGAGGCCACTCTTCCTGTGTCCACTGAGACCAAACCACACTTTCAGCTCTCTGAACACACAGAGTTCCTGTTTGCTTAAAGGCCTTTACTTTTGCTGGAAGCTTCCTACTGATCTTCACATTTTAACATCATCATATTCATAAGGACTCCAACTCTTATCGGCTGCACCCCACTGCCAATCTCTATCTCTAGCCTCTATCTTCTGTCCATCTCAGAAATGAGGCCTCTTCATTTCTGCTTATCCATAAAATTTTCTTTCTTTGTTCTTCCCCATTAGGGTTTAAGTTCAATAAATGGAGACACCGTGTTCTGGCACCATGTCTGTACCAGCAATGAATATTTATTGAATGAATGACAATGCAAACGATTCTTTCCTCTTACAACTCTTCTGTCTCAAATTCATTATGTCTGCAAAGTCTCATTCACCTTTCCTCTGAGCAGTTTTTCCTGCTCCAGTTCCTAATGGGGTATGACAGCAGTTCTTCCTCTCCTTTCCATACGGCACCACCCCTCGACTCCCACACAAACATCACATGTACACTCACAATAAAGTGGCAAGTGGGTGGCCTTTAGTAGGACAGAGATTAAGAGCCTGTGCAACCCAGTCCTCAGTGGCAAGATCTTGCACTGAGCATCCTGCCCTCCAGAGATGCCTCTGGGAGTAAAGGGAGAAGCTTAAGAGATGCCATGTTTTAGGCCTTTCTGTTTAAGTACCAAATACCTATCCTTTGAAGTCAGAGCTTTCTAAATGCATGAGCTCTCATGTTCTTGTTTTTAAAAGGCGATCGACCACATTTTAGAGCCATGAGCTGTGTCAGTCCTCTTAGTCAGTCCTCCCCAGCCCTGATCCTTTCAAGCCACTACAAAATATCCAAGTGCATGTGTGCGTGTGTGTGTGTGTGTGTGTGTGTGAGTGAGTGAGATCTCTGAGGCCACATCTACTACTGTAAGTTACAGAGAAAGAAGAGTGGAGAGTGAGAAGCCAGGGAGAGAAACACAGGCTCTCGGGGTGAAGTCCAGAGGGAAGATGGCAAGACGTGCACTTCGGACGTGATTTTCTTCTAGAAGACTTCCTTCATCTCTTGTCCTCGGGCCTCGCTGCAGCTGGTGCTGGGAGAGGACAAGGACCTAATGGATCTCAGACCACCTGGCAACAGCCCCCCTCCAGGAACCACGGGGCCAGCTCTCCCGGCCCTGGCGGGTGGGCTCCCAAGAGTGCCCTGAAGATGCTGCCTTACTAGCTACCAACTCAGACCTGAACCCGGACATCAGCCTCCACTCTACCTCGAGACTTTCGCTTGAATCCAGCATCTGAGACCTACTTTCCCAGGCAGCCGGCTGTTCAGAGCAGCTCCAGCCTCCTGTCTGCAGGAGGCCCTGGGCTGACCGTGGGACGTGGCTCCCCAGCAAGGCTCGCTCTATACGCTTATGTCTTAAGGACAGCTCGTGGTGGTTTGTTTTTTTCTTTTTACCCCTTCTTCTGTTTGATGAAATTACCAACAAAATCTAGTAAGGGCAGAGGAGTCAGAACAGCCCCAGACTGGGAGCCAGGAGTCCGGGGCGCTTTGCCTTGACTCCACGTTGGCAGCACTGACCTTGGGTAATCCATGCAGCCTCTGGTCTAAATTGCTTTCACCTGTAAGACTGTGCAGTTCTCGCTGCCAGGCTGGCTTCTCGCAGGTGTTGAGAAGATTAAAGCAGACACGGTGTGTGCAGACGCTTTTGAGAACAGCCCAACCTTTCACAGATGTAAGGTATTACTGTCACTAATAATAACAACAACAATAATAACATAGTGCCCATCTCTGAAAAGCACTATAACTATTTTTTTTTTACTTTTCAACTTCAATGAAAAACACTCTTGATGAGAAAATATTTCTTTTTTTTTTTTTCATTTATTTTTATTAGTTGGAGGCTAATTACTTTACATCATTGCAGTGGTTTTTGTCATACATTGAAATGAATTAGCCATGGATTTACATGTATTCCCCATCCTGGTCCCCCCTCCCACCTCCCTCTCCACCCGATCTCTCTGGGTCTTCCCAGTGCACCAGGCCCGAGCACTTGTCTTGATGAGAAAATATTTCATTGAATCTATCTTCATAAAGTCTATGAACTTTTAACTTTCACATGAAAGAAAACATATACTTTCCCAGTCTGTATTCAAAATAGAGACAATGTGTGCCTTCACTTAATAATATTTTATACCTCTATTGTTATATTGCTATGCTAATTACATTCGTATTATAGAATCAATGGATAGTTTTGGGGTGGGGCTTATTATTAATACTAACTTTTACACTACTAATGATAGCTGCTATTTTTGAAGTACAACTATGGGAAGTAAGAGAGAAATAACATCTTGCTCAGCCCAACTCTTTAAGCTAAGTAGTTTTACTTCCCTTCTGCAGAAAAGCTCAGGGTAAAACTTTCCTGCCTAGGGTAAAAATGAATAACTGGCCAACCTCAGGATTTTGAATTAATGTCTCCCTTTGTCTCATATTTGTGTTTTTACTTTTAAATAATACTCTCCGTGAACTCTATTACAGCTGTGCATCAGTAGAACAAACTGCAACATTCCTTTTTGATCATTAAATTAGATGAAAAAGTAACATATTTGAGAAAGCAAAATTTAGCTAATTGCAAGAGATTTGTTGATGTCCAAAAAAGTTTGGGGAAATGAGTTTTGAGGTTCTGACAGCCCATAGACAGTCAAGATACAACATGAATTTCTGTCACCATGCTGATCCGGGCTTCAAATGGTCTACAAGGGAGCGATATTGGAAATTTGATTCAATAGAAAGTCAAAAATGGAGATGTGGGGGAGGGCTTTTTTCTTAATGTTTATTTTGATCATTAGTCTTTGAGTTAATTACACAACTAGTACTAGGTTTTCTTAATATTTATTTTCACTCGTTTATGACAGTGGTCCTCAAACTGGGCCACACATCAAATCATGTAATAAAATTTTTAATGCAAATTTCAAGACCCCCCCCCCCAACCCAGATCTGTTAAGTCAGAACTTGTGATATCTCTATCTATGAAATTCCCCCCAGGCATTTCTGATCTAGCTGGTTCTTTGAATCACTGGTCTTTTTTGTGATTTATGACCTCTCAGAATTGATTCTCTTAAATCTTAACATTATATCGTCCTTATACCATTTAAATCACTTGGCTTCTTTTCAACGGTACTGAATTATAAAAGCTACAGTTACTGAAAACCACAGCGTTCTATAATTATGACTCAAATGGGTTGAAAATGGAAAACATACACATATAAAATTTTGTAGAAAGTCAAGGAGGAAAAAAATCCTAGCTGCCATCAATTTCCCATGTTGAGACCTCATGTTGCAACTTTCTCCCAAAGTGAATTTTATGTCAGAGCCATAAAGATCTAAGATCCCCTCCCGGGAATGCTGGCAGCAGCCCTCACAGGCCATTAGAATCACCTCTTCCATCCCTCCCCACCCCCAGCCGCTTCAGTAAAGACTTTCAGCCTCTCTAAGAGCTCCCCAATAGAGCTATCAATAATTCACTGTTTTCTAACATGATCATTTGTAAGAGATATTTTTCTGTTACTGCTGTCAACAAAAACCTGTTTAATACGCACGGATTATTATTTTCCCCATATGTTCCACAACTGAGAGCTATAAATAGACAACAAGAATGTTACCCGCAATGTACAAATAGAGAAGGAGCATGACATGGCCAACGGCGTTGTTCAATATTAAAAAATTGCCTTAACGTGTAATTGCAAATGTCTGAAAACTGGTCCTAAAAATGAATAGGTTAAAAGTCATCCAATAACAAAAACAAACCAACAAAACGATACAGTCCCAAATCAGTGCAAAACTTATTCTAAGAAAAATCTTTATCTAGCATCTTGAATTTTTAACATCAGCTCCTTTAAAGTGAAGCCAAGTTTGTTCTTCTCTTAAACGTGCGTTATCTCCTTTCTGAAAGGCGTACTTTCAGGTGAAGCTTTTGAAAACCATCATCCCATCCACCCTCTAGTATATTTCGTCTTATCCCTGGACAAAGAGGACAGTGATAAAGAGGTTTTAATAGGGTACTCTACGCCTTTATCACTGCCTCGTTGACTTTGTGACTTAGGAAACCAAAGCAACTTTTAATGGCCAACAGAAAAGTTCAAGCTTTTCCATGCATCCTCTTGGGAAAAGAAGACCAGATCTAGACATAGTTGAGCTAGGGCAAGAAATAGCAGGTCTATGTGAAAACTGCCTATGAATTTGGGAATTTTACATGCTAGTGATAGAATATGGTGGCATACTGGTAAATCTGAGCAAAATAAAATACCAAATAATCCCCAGTTCTTGAGAGTGTACAGACTTGATCAGTCTGAAAATCAGTCTATATTCATGGTGTTTGTTTTTTCTTCTCCCTTTGAGAGACATGTAGAACACATCAAAGATCATGAGTTAGAGTTCCATAAATTTTACTGCCTTCATGTTGTAACACTCACTAGTGTGGAATGATGAGCCACTGGAATGGAATAACCATTTTCTTTTCTTGAGAACACTTTCATGGGAATAAAAGTTTAACCCGGTTCCTATAGTTAAGTTTCTATGACATTCTCCTTTGTGTTTATATGGTTTGGGAAAGAGAGGGTCTATATGGTTTCGTTTTTATTAAGCACAAAACAGAGAGGCTTAATGAATTTTCACAGTTCATCACTGATTTTTGCAACTAACACAAAGAGTCTTATATGCAGTGAGTAAATGTTGTTGGTGATTTTTTAAAGTTTTATTCTAAAGACGTCTTTGTCCTGTGTTATCTTCCTTTAACAGCCCACTTTTCCTGTAGGTCCCGCAATAGGGACAAATACGGCGATTAGCTTTGCTCCTTACTTAGCACCTGTAACCCCTGGAGTTGGGTTAGTCCCAACGGAAATTCTACCCACCACACCTGTCATTGTTCCCGGAAGTCCACCTGTCACTGTCCCGGGCTCAACTGCAACTCAGAAACTTCTCAGGACTGACAAACTGGAGGTACTTCAATTATATTTGTGTTTTGAGATGCCTTTGGGGGTAGCAGTGTACTTCTATGGAAGTGAATGCTTGTAAGATACCAATTCAGTCTTGCAAAACAGCCACACACACAGATTCACCTAAAAGTCACGCATTTCATAATTCTACTGTTGGAATTGAAGGCCGAGTATAAAGGAAATTAGTCTGTGGGAAAAGAATAAGTTCAATACAAATAAAAATCGATTGTGTGGAATGTATATTCAGAGGCAAGATATGCAACAACCAATGGAAGGCTGAATCAATCACTACATAGGTCATGGAAATGGCTCCCAAGAGTTCCAACTGTGTCAGGCATAAACCTTTGCTGGATCCTGGAGAGGTCTGGGAATGAGCAGGTTGGGAAGCCAGCAGCCAGGACAAAGGGGACACTCAGGACAGAGGTGGGAGGAAGCAGGACAATGGCTGCAGACCAACCAGTATGATCATATTTCAGTTTAAGAACTAGTATGGCTGCTCCAGCATGCTCCAGCCCCGGTTGTATGTAGGTAAACAAGGGGAACTAGAGCCTGGGAGAGTCTAATTATTGACTTGAGTTATTTTCTTTCACTGATATTCAAGTCTTCTAGAAAAGTCAAGAAAACATATTTATAAAATGTAATTCTTAAGTCATGAGTCAAACCAGCTCACCTGGGTTTAACTTTACTGGGTTAAATTTCTTTTTAATCAGGGCATCCATTTATCTTAACTACTGTATGCTCTGATATTTAATAGAGCATTTTATATGGAGTATAAAGAATCTGATAGATTTTTCAAAGGGCTCCTTTAATTCAATCACCAATTATAGTTAGGTGATACATATGTAAGATTAGGATATATAGTGTGGTTTATCTTGGGATTGTTTGAGAATGTTCTTTCGATGTGCATTTGTTTAAATATTTACTCAATAAATCTTGAAAGTGATAAAAATGTTGCCTAATATCAGCTTCCATCTGAAGTATATGGATCCCCAAATGAAAAGACTATAAACTTCCGTGCTACTGTTTTGATCCAGCCTTCCCCTGTGAATATTGAACAGACCTTTCACGGGACTGGAAAAGTGTTTGGGGCGCCACCTGGTGGACCTGTGAAGCTTTCCTGTTCAGTACGTGACTCTGGTTTAGAAAACAAATTAAATCAGTCGAGCTGGGAACAAGTTGTCCTTCCCAACAGGATTGGCAGACAAAGACATATGTAAAAATGATTCACGAGGACTTTAGCAAAGCAGCTTGCAATTCATTTCAGAGCAGGAATGAGGTCGGCTGCACACAGAGCCCCTAGGTAAATAAATGCTCGACACCCAATGCAGTCTCAGCTTCGAGTCATTCCAGTTACATGGGGAGGCTTACTCACAATCTGTGGGAACAGCTTAGTAATTTTTCCTTTGTACATTTTATGAGCTAAAGATGGAATGCTGGATAATATACAAAGTAGAAGGAAACAATTAATAATTTTGTGATTTATCTGCTTGGCCTTCAAACTTGCCTGGCCACTGGTCAGTGAAACTGTATTTCCCAAGTACCTCTGACTCTCACAAGGCTTCCAGTGTCATGTCAGCGACCCTTCCTATAAGTCACTAGTGATCAAGATGAGAACCACCGCGTAAGCACATCAACACTAGATGTAGACCCTGAGAAGAAAAGAAGTTACCATTTCACTAATAATTTTTCTTTGATACAGATATTTATAAATATAACTGTTACATGTTTCTTTCTTGTGTTATTTCATGTTATTGATATTTAGGGCAAGATTAAGAATACTCTCTAAATCCCAAGGAAAATTTTCTTCATACAGTTAACTCTTGATCCATGGGAATCCTCAGAGGATGGAGCATTCTAGTTACTAGAGATTTCAGGATAATTAAGGACTGAAGAATAAGAAAAGGAAACAATACATCAACACTTCAAAATCTATTCTACTTACTTCCCCCCTGCCCCGCCCCTCCGCTTTTATCTCTTCCCATAGTTCTCTCCTTTTCATGTTTTCTTTATTGTCAAAAATAATAATATTGTGACTTAAATGAAAGTTTGGGTGTCTTGGGTATCGTAGTTCTTGTAATCTATGATTAGAAGCCCACCTTTTCTTTGTAGAGCGGGAGAGATTTAGGGGAAAATGGGAGTATTCACATTCACCCTGCCCCCACTTCCCATCCTCAGGGAGGAGAAACAAGTTTGTCGGATCTCCTTAATTCTTTTTGGAATTGTGCAGCCATGACCTTGTGGCATGATCTTTGGTGAAATAATCCCTCCAAGCCAAAAACCCCACAACTTCCCAGAGTTGTCATGGTAGAAGGAGATGTAGTTATATACAGAAGACCACATTTTACACATATATGTGTGTGTGTGTAAATATATGTGTGTGTGTATATATATAATCTCCGAATTAGTATATAACATATTTTCTTTCCTTCCTTCCCTTCTCTATAAAATAAACATAAATAAATAAAACCCAAGAACAATGGGGGCCTTGTTGATTTTTCTCCATTAACTTAGCTAAAGTGTAGATTTTGACTTACTTGCTCAATACAGATTCTCACCCCAGAAAACAGGGCGAAGCAAAACTCGAGTGATCACAGTTTGCCCGGGATTCCAGTGACTTGGGTTCTGGATAATCGAATGTTGATTGTAAAGGGCACAAAAGCCAGCATTCCAAGAAAGGGAAAGCATCTACTCCTTGTCTTTTTGTATTACCGCATCGTGTGCTCTCCCTCGTGCCCTAGGTCTGCAGGGAGTTCCAGCGAGGGAACTGTGCCCGGGGAGAGACCGACTGCCGCTTTGCACACCCCGCCGACAGCACCATGGTCGATACGAACGACAACACCGTAACCGTTTGTATGGATTACATAAAGGGGCGTTGCATGAGGGAGAAATGCAAATATTTTCACCCTCCTGCACACTTGCAGGCCAAAATCAAAGCTGCGCAGCACCAAGCCAACCAGGCCGCGGTGGCCGCCCAGGCAGCCGCGGCCGCGGCCACAGTCATGGTAAGTGGGGCGCGCGCGCCGCGCACCTTCCCCGAAGCTCGCGCGCCCGCGCGCCCGGAGCCGCGCCTTCCGCGCGGGCACGCGCACGCGCGCCTCGCCGCCGGGAGCCGGGCCGGCTGGCGCCCCCGCTGCTCCGCTGCCTCCGTCCTGTCGTGGTGCCCCGCCCCGCCCGTTTCGTTTTCGTTCTGTTCCGTTCCTCCCTCCTTCCCTTCGCAGCACAATAAGTAAATCCCTCAGGCGGGCGCAGGGAAGCCGGGGGCGGGTGCGAGGGCCCCTTCCCCAAGCCCAGCGCGCCTCTCTGAGCGCGGACGCGGGCGGGACCCGGCTGCAAGGACCAGCGAGGCGGCCCGGAGCTGGGGGGAGAGGAGAACCGGGCGGAGGATGGACCCGGGTCGCGAGCCACTGCCCCTACTTTTTTGCTCCCCACTTCTTGTTACTTATTACAAAGGCCATGCTGCAAACTCGCTCTCTGCCTAAAAGAAAATTTATGCACAACATCAAGTCATGAAACAGATGAAGATGGAGCTGAATGGATGGTGCTTTGAAAAATAAGAATAATAAAAGGGCTGGAAGCTAGCCCCAAGTCCCCGAGTCAGTGTCCTGCCTCTTAGACACAGGCCTCCCCAGCACCCCTGGGAGCTTGTTACAGCTCGACTCAGGCCCCGGCCCAGACCGTTGGGATCAGGATTTGAATTTTCAAACATCCCCAGGTGGATTGTATACATAGTAACGCTTGAGAAGCACCTGCCTAGAACACGTTGTTGTTGCTCGGTAGCGAGGTCATGTCCGACTCTTTGCAACTCTGTGGACTGCACTAGCCGGGCTTCTGTAGTCGGGGATTACCTGCGGAAAGTTTCTAAGGGCAGTCGCTTCCCCCAGATTTCTTATTTTATTGGTTTGGGTGTGGCCTGGGCAAGGGCCTTTTCCGGCTCCCTGTGCGTCCCTTGTGCAGCAAAGTTTGAGCGCCACCACACTGGCTTCTAGAATTCATCTGTTGTGGTGTGAGCTCTCTGGCTTGACGTCAGTATTTTAATGTATGATAGACACTGGATCACCCATGAGACCGGGCGTTCATCGGCCACTTGCTGGATGGAGTAAATAAATTAGGCAGTTTTCCTTGCCCTCAGGGAGCTTGACGTTCAGTTAGTGACAGGGATGACAGTCCTCCATGACGTGATGGAAATGCATCATGGGGTCCTGCTTCTGGAACTACGAAAAAATCAGTCCTTATTCCTTGGTACTAATAGTGACCTTTAGCGCAGAGCCCTGAATTTATCTGAGTTATCTGAGCCTTGATTTATCTGCCTGTTACCTAGAAGTGGGTTTCCCTGGTGGCTCAGAGGGTAAAGAATCTGCCTGCAATGCAGGAGGCCTGGGTTCGATCCCTGGGTGGGGAAGATCCCCTGGAGAAGGGAGTGGTAACCCATTCCAGTATTCTTGCCTGGAGAATTCCATAGACAGAGGAGCCTGGCGGGCTACAGTCTGTGGGGTTGCAAAGAGTCAGATAAGAGTGAGCGACTAACACAACACACACTACCTGGAAGTAGCAGTCCTAACATCTACAATCAGTATGTTCTTGAATCATGGAAGGAGCAGTGTACCTAGAATAAGTCAGTGGTAGATGACCTGGGTTGGTGGAGATGAGGGAAGAAATGGCCGTTACATTTATGCACACAGCCCGATTTCTTTAAATTACAACGCTGTGTGCTCTTCTTTGGTGCAGTTTCCCATCCTTCTCATCAAGATGCACAAAGGTTGTTAGAGTGGATGTCAGTATGTTTAGTTGCCATAGTTTCCTCGATTGTTACACTGTGCCGGATTTGGAGTTCTGATATTTCAGGTGGTCTTGCAGCACTGTCAAAGACAACCCAAAGGAATGTAGATTCAGAACAAAAGCATGAGGTTCTTTCTGACAATGACGTGAAACTTACTGAATCTGCAGTGTCTTTTGAAAGTTAGAGGCTCATTTGAAACCAGTTGCAGTTGGATGAAGTCAAAGTCTTCTTACTCTAGTAACAAGATTACTCAGCACTATGAAGGAAAAACAATTATTTTATTTCTTTAAGAGAATGAATGGGAGAGATGATTGCAGCCAGAAGATATTAGTATTCCATTCACCTGCTTTCCATGTCTGAGCTCCAAGAATTTCTGTAGTGTAGTTTTTATTGTTGTCCAGGAATTTCTGCTTCTTTTGATTAATTGGACCCTGAAAATGAATTCAAAGCTTTGAGTCCAGAAAAAGAGGCATCTCTTTTCTTTAGAGCCTTATACTTGTACAATACCTCTTAAAACATGGGCATCATCCTCACCAGAATTTTTCAAATGTGAAAATAAGTCAGAGCTTCTCTTTGGTAATTTTAACACAAAGGATATCTGGTCTTCAAGACAACAGTCTTTCTACACACACACACACACACACACACACACACACACACACACACACACACACACACACACACACACACCACAAATGGGGCTGCACCAGGAGATACTTACTTTGTAAAAGGAAACAAGACCAGCTGTCATCAGCTAGTCAGGAAAACATGTTCAGGAACTTTGCATTCCTACTTGTCCATATCCCTTTCTTCTGCATTAAAGTGGCAGCTCTGGTTACTGTCGTCCACGTTTCTTGATTCCTCAGGTTTGGTCTTTACCTTGAAGGCCTGGCACTTGGTTCGCTTACCTTGCCTTGAAGTTGGCTTGCTCCTTGATCTAGAAAATGAAACACCTGGCTGCATGCACACACGCTCTGGAGAAGGCTTGGAGAGGGGACAGAGGATCAGGAATGCTGGTGAAGCCAGCTAGAATGGATATTCAGTAACTGGCCCATAGTAGGGGCTCAATTAAAGAGAATCTGGTTCTCTGCATAGGTGTCTAAGGAAGCTCCCAGGGTGCACTGTCCTTGGGGATCTCTAAGGTCTGCTCTAAGCCTGAAGATCTTTCAATATAGGTAAACATACGGCTGCAGTCACATATTATCCTCTAAAACACAACATCTGTGTACTACAAAGGCACATTATAACATGATTATTCACCCATACAGTTTTTAAAATACATTCCACACATGTCCCTCAAAGCGTGAGACATGCAAGATATTTATATGTCCACTCCAGGAGCTGCGTGTTTCCTTGAAAAGACAAGATATTTGCATCTAGTAAAGATAAACTCAAGTGAGTGGTAGAGAGAGATGCTGTCAGTGTCCAGCTCACTTCAGAGCTCTCAGCTTCTTTAAATTCCTAGTTTATTATAATTTCTGTGGAAATTACATTTCATCAAATGAGGATTGGAAAAAAGAGAATATTAACCTTTCAGGTGATTATCCTAGGGAGAAATACTTAATATCTCTTTTTCTACCTGGAGACTTCGTTAAATGATCTTTTGTTCAAAATTTTGTTCATAAGCACTAGCCTTTGGAGACATACTCACTGTCCCATTAGCATATCAGAAAAGATCAACCCAAGAGTAGGTGTGTTCTTTATCTCCCAAGAACTGAAAAAGTGAAGCAAGAATGGAATCCAGGAAGTCCAGGCCAAAATGATTTTGAATTTAACCATCCAGTTAGTAGGCTCCCCTGTGGCTCAGACAGTAAAGAATCTGCCTGCACTGTGGGAGACCCAGGTTCAATCCCTGCATTGGGAAGAACCCCTGGAGAAGGGAATGGCAACCCACTGCAATATTCTTGCCCAGAGAACCCCATGGACAGAGGAACCTGGTGGCCTCAGTCCATGGGGCCGCAGAGTCCAACACAACTGAGTGACTGACACTTTCACTTTGTTTCATCCAGTTCATGTTGTTAGCGCACTCTATGAGAACAGGTTATGTAGCCTTATGTAGTTAATATAGGCTAATGTAAGCAAAAAAAAATTTTTTTCATTATCTAGCAATGTAAAAATATATTGGAATGAAAGATTTTAAATACAAGTGGTGTCATGAAAGTTACATCATGGCAAACTGACATTGGAGGAAAGAATACTCAAAGCTTTTTTGTTCTGAATCTTGTTGGTTTTTTCAAATGTTCACAGTTCTGCCTCCAGAACGGTGATTTTCTCTGTGACGGCCTCTATCCAGACTGCCTTCCAAAACATCTTTTCCACTGGCCAGTCTAAACCTCTGTTCTCCCTACAGTCCTTTCCACTTTATTTCTAGTTTTTCCCCCAACTCACCCTTAGCCCTTTATCTCCTGTCACTTTCATACTTTTAATCCTGAAACATCCAATGATGAAGAACAGCTCTTTATTGGCCAAGGAAAATGTCATTCATTGTTCCCATTTTAAGGGTTAAATACTATCCCATTTTCTTCCAAATGCCATAGTTGCAACTCAGAGCTTTAGAATAAAACATTTTGTATTTGTTATACAAACCTTGGGGATTTACCTATTGTGCTAAACATAGAAAAGGGGTATTTCATTTCTTTTTTTTTTTTTTTTGCATTGGAGCTATCCCTTTGACTTTATTTTCATAGAATTCCATCATAAAATTTTTAGATTTCTTAACAACAATTATCAAGGAACAGGAAGATTTTCTCATTGTGGTCTAAATCAATCACTATTTATTCTTATTTCAGCTGTTTAAATGAAACTATCTGCCCAAAGGATGGTTATGTTATAAAGATATTATCTTACTTATACTCCAAGCAGTTCATTGCTATTTTTTAGCTGTTTTTGCTATTTTTAGCTATTGTACCTGTTCTAGCCAAGAGTTCCACCTCTCATTAAGTGGGTTGGTCACTGATTATAGTTAAAAGTATGAGTAGAATTATTTGATAAAATTATTTTGATACCCGAGGACACCAAATACCCTTCAAAGGGTATTTTCTTAGTGTAATCCCGGTAAGTTGTTTGCCATAAATTGAATAAACATTTCAAATGTGGTAGAAAACAGAATGGAAGATAAGTTAGTCATTAGAAACCATACGGTGGAATGAAATGGAAATTTGAGAAACCTACTCTTCAAATTCAAAACTTGTTAAGCTTGGAAGCTTATTGCATATTGCCAGATCCACACTAGCAGAGTGAAGAGAAAAATTGAGACAATTATCCGCATAATTCAGACAAAAAATTAAGATCCAAACCCAAACCGTTTTGCCTAAATAATCTTGTGTTTGAATATTTTTTTGCCTGAATTGTTTGTCTCAGTTTGCCACTTCATTTTGTTAGGCTAGATCATCATTAAAACTTACTTTTATAAAAGTTCAGACTTTTTTTTTCCAACTTGGATCTTATACATAGTACATTCATTATTTTATATTTGAAAACTAACTTATCAGAAGTTCTTCAATCCTGTGGCCCTTGAAAGTTTTGCATTTTTTTCTGAAGCAATAGAAAAATGCTTATGGTGTGTATGCAAGCTGCTGTTTTAATTAACTTTCCTGAATTTCAAACATCTATATTTTACTCTCTTATATGCTTTTAACTAAGGTATAGTAGATGCATTTTTGCTTCAATACTAATTTAAGGTGTAATATTCATTTCTTTAGAGAACATTTTTGTTGTTGTGCATGCCTAGTGTTTTGTACGTTGTATATTGCATTCAGAATATTTTTTTCCTTCTCACCTATCCACAATGCAATGCCGTTCCCATGATGCACCTCTGCTTGCTGTTTACCTGTATGTTAATTCGCTTGAATCCCATTGGCCCACTGCCATCATGTGCTCGCTGCCTGTTATTAAAAGACTCAGTCGACTGCCAAAGCAATGAAGCGACCTCTCGAAGCATCTGTAGACCTGGTACTTTGACCTTTCACCTTTCGCTTTGCATGTAGCTTTTCAGAGAACCATCGAGATTTGTATTACTTGTAAAATATCGGTTGCAAAGAATCATTATGTTTAATTAATGAGAAGAATTCAATAAGGTGTTTAGCCATCTCATTTTCATATGTAATATGTGGAATAAATTAATCCTAACAAATTTTAATACCTTTTCCAAAAGAGTGAAGCAAATTTAAATTACTTGGCTCGTAAAAAATGCTCATGATAATCCTAATTAACCTTTAAATTCAAGAAATTGCCATTTTTAGTTAAAGAAAAGAATAGGTATTAATATTAATAACACAAATGCTTCCTCCCCCTCCCCCCCTTAGAATAGTTTAACTCATTTTTAAAAGCTGAAGTCATTTTTCGCTGTTGTTGCTTGATAGTTTTTCTTTTCCTTAGTTAAGATGCTACCGTTTTGGGGTTACCGAAGTCATGCTTTCGCTCTCAATAACAAGGTCTCACTCATTCGACATTGCCGCTATTTACATTAAGGTGCATGGCAGAGGCATCTCCTTAGCTGGCCTTTTTTAATCGTGTGCTGCGGTTGATGATCTCTGTGGACACGGAAGGTGTGTTTGCGTTGAGTTATACATGTCTTGTCCGATCCTTCGCTCGCAGGCCTTCCCACCTGGTGCTCTTCACCCTTTACCAAAGAGGCAAGCACTTGAAAAGAACGGCGGCGCCGGCAGCGTGTTCAGCCCCAGCGTCTTGCACTACCAGCAGGCCCTCAGCAGCGCGCAGCAGCTGCAGCACGCGGCCTTCATCCCGACAGGTGCGTGCCCCGAGCGCCCGAGTCCTGTGTCCGTGTGCCCTCGGTCATGTGCTTTCTCTCTCATTCCTTTAAGCTGTTCGGTGGCATCTAGTTTGCTTTCTCAGAGGTGCGATCCATACAGCCTGAGACTTGCCATTGGCCTAGCTATCTAGATAAGTTACCCTGCTTGGGACGATAGCTAAAGACGCTTAGGATTCTAAAGCCAAATATTCTGTAGAGTCAAGTGACCGACTGAACCCCTGAGAAGCAGACAGCACTTAGGGCTTTGGGTTTCTCGTATTTACACAAACTGTGTAAAATTGTTGATGTAAAGAAGACCTCTTATGTGTGACAATTGAAATTTGTCATTAACCCTGAATGGCCTAAAAATAGCAATTCCAGTAAATACTAACCTTTTTTTTCTATTCCTATTCAGAGCACTAAAAAATCAAAAAACAAAAAAACGAAATGAGGCTATTTAAATTAAAGCAATCCTCTACTCATATTTTTACATCCATTCTATCTCTTTTGCCATCCTTCTCAACTTCCACCAAGTTCACAAATATAGAGACCTCTTATCCTCAGTTTCTAAGCCAATGCCTGATAATAGTAGGTGCTAAGGTGCTTTAACTCTGTCATTCTACTAAGAAATGAATTCCATTAATCATAGAATCTTGAAGGTTAAAGGATTCTTAGTGATCTCCACATCCAGTTGATTGTTTTACAGATGAGAAAGCTGAGGCCCCCTAAATGTGAAGTGACTTCCCAAGGTGGCAGGACTAATAAGAAAAAGACCTAGAACCCAGTTACCCTGAGACCAGTTTGATTTACATGACATGACACCAGCCAGCCTCCATATGTGGGGGCCAGAGTCCTCTTTTGGAGTCTGGAGTAAAACATCAGATAAAAGTGAAGAAGCAAAAATACAATACATGCCAACCCTCCATATTTTTACCCACCTCCCTGACCACAGACCTATATACATATACAAACACAGTCACCATAAATGGCTGGGGTTTTGACCTTTTAATCTGCGCTAAACACAGGGATAATATTTGCAAAATAAACTTTGCTAGAGGATCCAAAAAAAAATTTTTTTTTTAAAAGAACCAGGTGTCACTTAAGCTTTAGTGAGAAGACTGTCCGTTGAATTCTTAATTTGAAGTCAAAATTTTCATCCCATGATAGTGACTTAAAGGTCAATATAGATGAATAACAATTTTATCATAAAGAAGCATACTGATCCCAATCCACTTGGGTGGACTTTTCAGGTTTCTTACCCATTTTCTTAAATACTGTAGCATATCTGGAATTAACATAGGAGGGAGTTGAATAAATATTTCTATCCTATTCTTCATATAAAATATATACTTTGAAATGAATTACTGTTAAGAATATTTAGATTGTAGTAAAAATATCAACTGTGTGAGTAAAGTAGTTCTTAGCCTACAGTTTTCTTAGTTTAGTTCTCTTGACATAAATAGACTCACAGACCTATAGAGTGAGTCTCTGGATCAGTTATTATCAGGGCTTCACTCTTGTCCGATCATAGCCTTAATTGGTGGCATTTCAGCACAGTTGTAGCACAACAGTGATAGTACTTGTAATCCACTTGATGTAACCTGTTTATAAAATAATTACTAGAAGGTAAACTTTTCTTGAGGTTCTCTGTGGTTCCTCCAAGTGTCTTACTTTATAGACCTCATCACTAGATGTTTTAAGGGAGAAAAAAATGTGGAAGAATATACTGAGGGGGAAAACAGAAAAAGGCAAGTCTGCTTCTGAAGACTGGTTAGTCATACCACCACCATTTTCTGGGAATGCCTCTGAAACCCTGGAGCTAAGCCGTGCAAAAGACTGAAGGCCTCGAACCCATACTTAACTCTTCCTCTTTTTGTCAAATCACTGGAAGAATTCTCACTTAAAAATATTTCACCTGGGACCCACTTAAAGGCCGCCAAAGCAAGAACAAAGAACACCCCTTTTTGGCCGTGGCCTGGTTAGAGCGGCGAGACGCTTGCGCAGAGGGCCCGGAGGCTGCGCTGGATGTGCTTGTGCCCTTCTGCCCTCTGCTGGGCTCTTTAGGAACTGTTCAGGTGTGTTCAGCAGCCCTCCACTGAGTGAGCTTTGGGAGCCGAACAGTGGGTCCTAGTCCACTTAAGTCTGTGCTTTAGAAGTATTTCCATCTGTAACATGACATAAGTATAGTGAACAGACATGTGGATCTCATGCCCTGGAGTGGATTTCAACTTCTGTGAAGTTTTCACATGTTGCTTTTAAATGATGAAAGAATAATTTTATTAAAAGGATTTTAGCATAGTCCTGGGCTTCCCAGGTTGGCTCAGTGGTAAAGAATCCGTCTCCCGGTGCAAGAGAGGCAGGAAACTCGGGTTCAAGCTCTGGGGTGGGAAGATCCCCTGGAGGAGGAAATGGCAACCCACTCCAGTATTCTTGCCTGGAGAATTTCATGGACAGAGGAGCCTGGCGGTTTATAGTCCATGGGGTCTCAAAGAGTCGGATACAACTGAGTGCACGTGACACACACACACACACACACACACACACACACACACACACACACAGCATAGTCCGTCCCCCAGTTAATTCCATAACAGAAAATTAGTGTTTATTTTCCTCTAGTTTTTATTTCAGCTTTCTTTCTCATAGGCCACGTTTGTAGCCTAATTTAAGATGATAATGATGATAATCAGTCTTTGTTAATCATTGTTGTTTTAAATCCTGCAAATTAAATGATGATGCTCAAAACTCTTTTTGATGATGCTCAAAAATTTTTTTTAAACTTGGTAAATGAAGGGCTCATTACTTTTTAACTAACTGATTTTTCTATAAATACATTAACAATTATCATAAAGATGAAACAAAAACTGTTTATGTTCTCCTGGAAGTCAGGCTTTATTGAAAGGTCATTCGCAATGAAGTTTTTAATATACTGCTAAAATTCTCCCATTGATACAATGCAACTTTGAATTTTAGGAACTCTGCCTTCAGGCTGGGGAGATACTAATATAAAATGTTATGCAAAATATGGGATTCTTCCCCAAACCCATGCTAATATAATTATCACCCTGGTTGATGCCCTAGCACATTTGCAGTGGGTGGGATTTTTCCTTTTTGATAGGAATTATTTTAATCTAGTGGTTATACTTTTTTCTTTGCTCTGTTAGGAAAGTGACAAAAACCACACACACTTACAAAAATAGCAGCATAATAATTCTTGGCATTTCTCTGACAGGTTTATTCTGAGTTCCTGTAAGTGTTCTTATCACATTACTCTTCAGGATAGTTCTGCCAGTGGCAGGCATTAATTATTTGCATTTTGCAGATGGGAAAACTGAGGCTGTGCTTATGCTGCAAAGTGGGATATATGGTTCATGGAAGTGTCCCGATAATCCTACTCAAAGATTCTAGACTTGAAATATTTGTGCAACTGAAGCAGAAGATGTTTGAGAAGTCTTTGTTTATAGAATTAAGCCTTAGTGAAATGCTTCTACCAGGTGGAACAGAGATGACCCACTGACTCCCTCATTTACTTATTCCATTAAGTTGGAAATACAAAGTAGAACAGGGAGGTGCTAGCGCAGATCTTCCCTAATGATCAGAAACCATACTCTTACATAAGCTTATCACACATCTTGATGAAAGATCGGTCAGTGTTTAGTGGAAACGCTATGTATATAACCACAGCAGAATGTATTTATCCTATTTAATTCAGCAAGCTGTTCTTGAACACATGGTCTGTTCTGGGTTCCAAAGGAGTAGGAGCATACAAAGGAGTTCAGAACAAGGCAAAAGTCAAACATCATGCAAAGCACCTTAGGGAATTTGAGAGTGAAGAAGAAAGAGACTATGTATTTGGCTGTCAGATCTGTAGTAGGTGGTGGTGACGAACGACGTGGAGCAAGAAAGACTCACTTTGGAAAGAAAGACTTTTCGAAGGAGGAGAAATTTCCTTAGGACTTTGAGAGGAAAATTCTACCAGTGGGGGAACAGCATCCCAGGCAGGGGGAAGAGCATGGATTGGGAAGAGTGCATTTGAGGAAAAACAAATTGTCCATTGTATCTCTAGTGTGACGTACTGGAAAGGCTGTGTTGGTGGGTGGAGGATGACAGTGGGGTGAAAAGGCAGAGATGGGGCTTAGAAAGAACATTAGGAGAAGAATCTGACATTGAGTAAGATAGCCACACACTGCAAAAATTACGTGTTTCAAATATTCATATCAGGCTTACCTGGTGGCTCAGCTGATAAAGGATCCACCTGCATTGTGGGAGACCTGGGTTTGATCCCTGGGTTGGGAAGATCCCCTGGAGAAGGGAACGGCTACCCACTCCAGTATTCTGGCCTGGAGAATTCCATGGACTGTATAGTCCATGGGGTCACAAAGAGTTGGATACAACTGAGCGACTTTCACAATGTTTGTATCACTTTGGCCCCATAGAGATGCTCATCACATTAATTTGGTTGAGCGTTTCAGCCACATCCTGAACTGAGGCCAAAAGATAGCTGTGCCCCCCCCCGCCCCAGCCCAGCCCAGTGTGGCTGCAGGGGCTGCTGTTGATGGTTTGCAACCCCGTGACATTTGTGTGTGTTCCAGGAAAGCCCATCCATGTTGGAATGCGAAAGAATAACATGAAATTTCTAAAGGAGTAACTTTGAATCCAGCCATAGTTGACTTAGTTGACTTTTCAAAGTCATCATTCACAAACTGAATTTTAGAAACAAGTTGCTCCCAACACACTCTCACTGGTAGATGAGAACATTCACTCAATTAACTGACTACCTACTATGTACCCCATAGATGCAGACAGACACAAACTCTGCCCTCCAGAGTTTACAGTGGAAGAGGAGAGGTAGATTTCAATGAGTAGCCATATAAATGTATAATCAAAAATTTTATGAGTATAATGAATGAAAAAGTAAAGAGTTGAATAAGGTTTAAAATGGAAACTGATTTCAGTGGCATGTGAAGATCGGTAAAGGAACAGTGAACAGTTTTTGGAAGAGGAAACATATACCTTAAGACTTGAAAATGGGATAAAGATTATTTTAGGCAGAGGGCTTGGGAGAAGCCCAAAGGCAGGCCAAACACGTGATGAATTTGGTTCAGAGAAATGAGAGGCTAATCTCTCTGGAGCTTGGTGCCGGGGGGAGAGGCATATAAGATGAGCTGAGCAGACAGACAAAGACTAGACCATGGGAACCTTTATCCTAAAAGCAATGAGAAGGCAGTGAATCGTGTGCAGCAGAGACGTGAACAGACCTCTACTGGGGAAGGTTTACTCCACCAGCAGAATGGAGCCTGGACTAAATGGGGGTGAGAATGGACGCAGGAGGACCAGCTAGGGTGTTACTGCATGTCCGAGCCCAGATGTCATGGTGATCAGGCTGAGAAGTGGCAGTGGAGATGGACCAACAAACAGAAGGTGCATTTTAGAAGCAGAATTGTTCTGTCTGATTGGTGAGTTGGACCAGGGAATTTCACAAGGGAAAGTGATATCCAAAAGAGCTTTCAGTTTAGGCTATAGCTGCTACATGGACAGTGATGTGTCCCATCTAGCATGTCTGGAGGTACAGAAACGGTTGCTTTGGGAAATGCTCGAGTGTATTAAATTTGAGGTGCTTGTGAGATCTCCCAAGTAAAAAGGCTGGATAAGCAGTTAGATGGAATGACCTGGAGCTCAGAGGAACAATCTGGGAGGGATGCATAAATTTGGAAACCTTGAACTTGTAGATTATATTTAAATCCTACATTGAATGACACCGTGGAATGAATGATATACTAGAAGAAAAGTGTAGAGTAGATGAAAAGGAATCAGTCTGAGCCCTAAAAACTCTAGTGTATAGACATAGAGTATGTGTGTATCTGTATGTGTGTGTGTTTGTGTGTGTGTCTGTGTCTTCAGAAAATCCCAGAGAAAGAGAAAAGAGTGGTTTATTACAGAGCAGCCAAGTGCTAAATGTTACCATGACTCAGGAAGTTAGATGAAGATGGAAGCGCTCCAACTGACTGCAGCAATACGTAGTTCTTTGATGACTTAGCAGTTTGAGTGGAGAGGTGAAAATGAAAGTCAGACTGGAGAGGACTGAAGAATAGATGGGGTCAAGGAAGTCAAAGTGGATGTGTAGGTAACTTTCCAGAAGTCTGATTGTGAAGAAGGCTAGAAAGGTAGGGCTGGAGAAAGCTGGGGTGTCATGAACAGGATTTGGAGATGCTTGTATGAGTGTTTCCATTTGGATATATTAGCACATGTTTGCTGAAGAATCCAGGAGGTGTCCAGTTAAATAGCCTCTTCTTCTGACTAGTTATCAATATTGGCCTGATCAAAATCCAGATCAGGCCGAAAGTCTCCCTCAGGTGTGATCAGTTCAGCAGAGAGAATAAAGACCTATACATCTCAGAGTCTTCATCTAGTGTCTCAGAAGGCAGTTGTAAAACCCTTAGTGGGTATACCTACTTTGATTAAAAATCACTTCTCTGGCCACATGACACCCAATCTTCAGTTATCTAAATCCTTACATTACCTTGATTTTCAAGGAGCTGAACCAGAAGTAGATGATTCTTTTCAATACCATTCTTTTATTGGTATTCCACAACATACGTTATATTCATGGTCAGTTTTCTGATTCAAGTGTATTAATAAGACCATCCACAGGTTAAGACAGCTATTTCCAGGGAAGGATTGAAATCTGCCCCCTCCTCCCTCCTTTCTACCCACCTAGACACCAACTTGAGGTTTCCTCGGAGTTTCGTCAAAGGTACCCCTCAGGAATCACGTAGTAGCAACCATAACAAAGCCCCTAACCCCAGTCCTGTCCCAGCCCCAGTTCTGCAGTTTTGCCTCTGCCTAAGCAGAGCTTAGTTTTATTGGAAGCCACTGCTCCTTTATCATAATGAATCTCATAACAGAAAATAGGTCACACATATCCTGGTCAGCCTGTCAGGGGAACCTCTTCCTACATTGAGGGCTTTCAAGCAGCAATCTAAAATTCACCCAACCCACAACCCTTTGATTTGGAGGGTACAGAATCTTAATTACTGTTTTTATTTTCATATTGTCATTGACACAAAACATTTTACAATCACACAAGCAAACTCTTGATGCAATAAGGTCAGCGTGATCTAGTGAATACCAAACCTGACCTGGATTTTAGGAATAGATTTCTATTTCTAGCCTTACCCTTGACTCCCACGATGCATGACCTTGGAGTAGTTACTATGCCTCAGATTTTTCATCTGTAAAATACCCACTTCCTGCCTCGGAGGAGGAACTGGAGAATGTCTGTTAAGATACCGTGAGGTCTTAGAGAAAGAAGACCGCCGCATGATCACATGTCATTCTTATTAGAATCATGTCGATGGAGATGAATCCATAGTGTGAAAAGCAGTGAAGACTATCGGCTTAAAATAAGTCAGATATATCTGTGTCCGCACTGAAAATGTGAATGACTCTACAAGACTGTGTTAACTAACCCTACTTATTTCTGGTTGTGCTTCAATCTCACTTTGAATGTTAACTCTAAACCGCTAACCTGTTTCTTTCCCTTTATTCACTTTTTTTCCACCTACCATTGCATGACATGCAGGGTCAGTTTTGTGCATGACACCCGCTACCAGTATTGGTAGGTTCCAACCTTTTTTTATTTGTCTTTTGTAGTTTGTACAATACCTGCACGTGACCGAGATTGATTTCAGAGATGGTAGAGATGCTGTAGGCACTGATAGATCTGAAGGCTTATTTGGCTTTAGAGTTAACGTGTAGGTTTTAAAATGTACTCATAGACTTAAGAAAATGACCGTTTTAATGTGACTAGAACAACCACTACAAGACATGAAACCACAAGTACGAGTCTGCTTTTTAATGATCTGTATTTTGTTTCTATTTAGAGTTTATACGGTTTTAGTGTAAGGGGGATAAAAAGCTTACTTTATGAGAGAGGCAGGCTAATTTCATCAATGTTTTAAAGTTTCATGTGGTGTGCCTTTATCTCCTCTTTGCTGTGTGTTAGAGTTATCAGAGTTTCCCAGAAGTACTTATTTTAAAAGATTATAAATGGATGTATTTTGAAAACAAATGTCACAACTGCCTTGCTTTACTATACTTTTTGATTTTGTGTTGATTTATTTGTAATGAGTATTTGTACCTTACTATTCCCGTAGATGTTAACTTTTAATAATACATACATAAGTTATCCCCACACTTCCCAAAGTCTTGGTTCAAAAATCTGTCTTAAGGACACATGGATTAGTTCCATTTACAGTAAAGAAAAATAAACATTGGTAAAATTTGCCTGTCTATTTCACAGTGACTGTGTTAGAATTTACATCAAGGCCATAATTTTTGCTTCACCGTTTATGGGCCCAAATAAACCACAATCCCCAGTAATTCCAGTTCAAACAGGCAGCCCCAAATTGACCCCCAAATTTCAATTTAACTGCAATTCATTCCAATAAAATTCTGACTTGCCAAATTAGGCCTACATATTGAGGTTTTGATGTTTTAGAATGATGATTAAAAAATGAATATCATATACTCTTACTTCATTTTGACATTACATTTTGCATTTTTAGAAGCACCCTTTATTATAGGCACCATAGGCTCTGAATTGGGAATGATCTATTGCTAGAAGTAAAAATGTTTGTAAATACATCAACCAAAGTAATCTGCTTTGGCCTTTCTGGGAATCACTGATGATGTTTTAAAACTTCCTTTAATTGTACTTGTAATAAGCTATTTTCCCTTTTTTATTTCTCTCCCATGCTTCCTTGCTTTGCATTGTGATTGCATGCCATCTGCTGGTTTAACCCATGATGGCTTGCTGCTCTGATATTCACCATGCCAAAATACCACTTCTATTACCATAATGCTACACCCTCCTGTTCATTGCTCCCATGGTTCCCCTCCTGAAAGTACCCATGATGCACAGCGCTACGTCAGCCACTGTCTCTGCAGCAACAACTCCTGCAGCAAGTGTCCCCTTCGCAGCAACAGCCACAGCCAATCAGGTTTGCTCCTTTTAAAGCTTTCTTTCACAAATCCCGAACTCTAAATGAGTGCCGATATTTAAAAAAAAAATTCTCGGTGAGAATTTTTTTTTCATGTTTATCCATCAAATTTTATTTTTTTGATTAGTTTATAGCCAGCATTTATGGACAGGTTGCACTTATTTAGAGTTAACATTTACTGCAAATAATGATGTAGCTATGTTTTGTGTTGCACTGTTTGTTTTCGTACCTAATATTGTGTAATTAACCTGACAGGCTTACATTCCTTTTAGTACAGCATTATGTATCCAGTGGTTTGTGAATTGTCACAGGAAAAAAAAAAGAGAGAGAGAGAAAAGCATGCCTGGGGGTGCTTCAGAACTGGCTGTATTTGGATTCAGTTCATTCAGACCCTGTTATTTGTTGTAGAGGAAAATAAACATTCTCCTCTCAGGAAAGCCTCCCTTTTTTCCTTAGTGTCAAATTTGAGGACTGAATGATTCTGGTTAACATTTCACCTTGGTCTTATGTGCTCCTCACGCTCACTTGGTTCCCAAGTGGAGCCAGACGGTGCTGGACGCAGAGTACCTGCCCAACCGGGTTCACAAAGCCTGGATATAACCGATAAAGGGGCGCTTAATTCTCTCAGCCTAATGCATGCGCCAATAAGACCATGGATGGCCTGTTTCTCAGTGAGGGCCAGTTGGCTGTTTCCTGTCGTCACGGGCTGACTGTAACCCTAACCCCAGCCAACCAACTTGCAAACGTGTGCGCTCAGGGTCCCAGGAGAGGAGTTTGAGCGTCAACTCTCGCTTGCCCGGGAAAAAAAAAAAAAAAAAAAACCACCCACACACTTGATTGCGCATGCGCTCCCTTCACAGACGAGCCTTTTTGATTTTGTTCTTAGTGTAGTGTTTTGGTTTTTTTGTTTTGTTTTTAACAAAATCGACTGTACTGATAAAAGACGACAAGAATTATAGGAGGAAGGGGAGGGAAGGTCCCAGGGAATGGAAGAAATTGGGAAAAATCATGTCTGGGTATAAATGGCAGATTCCAAACTCTATTCTGCAGACGGGAAGGGCTGATTCACACTTCCTTCCTTGTTCAAATTAATAAGCGTCGCCAGAGCTGCAGGTCTCATCACTGGAAAGATAGGTGTGCGTGCCCTTGCATGAAGAAACGAAGGCAAAATCTGTGAGCTCCCCGCGTGGCCCTTGAACGGTGATAGAGCAGAAAAGAACAAAGGCGAGGGGACAGAGGCCAGCTGGGCACTCAGGCAATGCCCGCTAGTGACGGCGCTTCAGCTCATCGCTCACCACGCGACAAGCCAGCTTCCGCTCAGGAGAGCCAGCTGGCTTCCAAACAGACGTAACAAAGAGCATCACATCAGTTTCTTAGCTGGAGGATTTTTTTTTCCAAATGATAGGATAGGAGAAGGGAGAGACCGTGTGCGTCCTTCCATTATTAGGTTCAAAGCTCCTCTTCTCACTTGGTCCTTCTTAGTAGGGGAACTGGAAATGTTTCTTTTATGCCTAAATCTAGCCTTCTTGAGCTATGTTTTTGTGATTTGTGACAGAAGTTTTGCTGTAAGGTCCATTCATAAGAAAACAAGTTTCAAGTGGAATATAGTTTTGGTTACAGTGGAATTTAACATTATATTTTTATGGCAAGTTAAGCGCTTTTCATACAGAGAGCTCTTTCTTGGGAATGGAAAGGAAATCAAGATAAAGAAATACTTTGGAGTTTTAGGTTATGTCCCTTTATGATGATAAATTCTTGATCCTGTATCATAAATATGTTTGCAACCTAGTGGGTTTTTTTGGCCCCGTTTGGTAGAAAAGTACTGAGAGATCACGTGCCTATATGTAAGCTTATGTATTTGTGTAGGGAGGAGGCGTAAGCTGTTCAGAAACTAAAATATATCACTTTTCAGCACAGTGTGACTGGTAAAGGGACTAATAAGTTAATGTCAATTAAGTCCAAAAAACTAAAATTACAGGAGTACTTTACAGTAGCTTCAAAAATCCTAGATTCTGTGCTTTGCAGTTTATCAGGTATAATCATTGCCGGACTTCACTTCAGTGATGACGAAGAGAAATCCTTTAGTGGCTCTCAATGAAGTTCTTCTTTCATAAGAACATAACAGAAATGAACTAGTAGTAAACATAAATTCTCAGATACGATACTCTTAAAGTATTTTCAACAAGTTTCAAGAAGCGGAGCCACTACAGAAGAACTTGAAAATTCTTTTAGTGCCTAGGAATTCAGAATTCAGAGAGATTTCTAGTGACTATGAAATGGAAAGTTTTCATCTTATTAAGATTTCACCCTTTAAACTTACATTGAATCATATGGATGTGAATTACGTGTCATTTAAACAAAATGAACCTTGTTTCCTCGCTTCTGAAAGAAAGATGAAAACTGGATAGCCGCTGAGGTCCCTTCCATCTCTTGAGCTTCAGCACATCTATGGCTCCTTAGCTGCCATGCTAGGCCCAAAGCACGAGATGATAGAGGTAACCATTCCATTCTCCAGGGGAATCTTCCCTGACACAGAGATCAAAGCTGGGTCTCCTGCATTGCAGGCAGATTCTTTACCGTCTGAGCCTCCTGGAAAGCCCTAAACACACAGAGGAGAAAGGGGTGCTGTTGATTTCAGAGTTCAGAGCATGATAGACATCATCCCTTCCTTCTCTTCACTGAGCCATCTGTTCTTAACACAAAAAATGTGGGCTTACCTGGTGGCTCAGATGGTAAAGAATCTGCCTGCAATGCAGGAGACCCAGGTTCTGTCCTTGGGTTGGGAAGATCCCCTAGAGAAGGAAATGGCAACCCACTCCAGTATTCTTGCCTGGAGAATCCCATGGACAGAGAACCCTGGTGGGCTGCAGTCCATGGACTCAGACACAACTGAGTGATGTAAACATGTGGTAGGGTTTTCACAGTATTCTAGTTCATTGGACCAACTGTCAGTTCAAATAGTTCAACTCTCACAGGTATGTGTGATTAGATACAAGTCATTCATAGAAGAAGAAGAGAGACCAGAACACCCCATGACGGCTCCTCCAGCCCAGAGTTCCTTTATATGTCACCCCATGGCGAGTCAAGATGAACCAACAGATTTATAAATTCTACCCTCAGGGCTTAATAGGATGCCAGCAGTGAAAGTTTTAACTGAACTTAGACTTGCAGTTTCAAATTAAATGACAACAAAACCCAAATACTTTGGGGAAATAAAGAATACTGTTTTGGTTATTTAGCTCTGGGAGTAGATATAAGAACAAAAGTACAATAAGCAAATTTACCAAATAGCTATCTCCTATTTCAGTTAAGTTCTTTGGGCCTTAATATACAAGTTATACCTAATAATAATATTATTTACAAATTATGTAGATGTCCAAGATACTATTCTAAATACTTTCTCTCTCATATAATACATTTAATATTATATCATATATATCATATGAGAAAGAATACATATGTATAGGATACACACAGCCTTAGTTCAGTTCAGTTCAGTCGCTCAGTCTTACTATAGTGTTATGATTATCGTTGTCCTCATTTTATAGATGGTAGACCTGAAACCAAGGTTAACTACCTTAGTCAAAGTTAAACATCTAATAAGTTGTCTTGCTAG